TTGCATGTAGCTACCCAGTTTTCCCAGCACCACTTGCTGAACAAATTTTCTTTGTTCCATTGTATCTTCTTTGCTCCTTTGTCAAAAATTAGGTGCCAATCGTTCTTTAAGGGTACCTTCAGAGTATAAATTCTCAAAGACAGAAAAACTCATTTGCATGAGGTGTGCAGTAGTTTTCATAGACTCAAAGACTTTATAGGAGACCCTTGTGTCAATACCAAGTATATTTTTTGCCGGCCACACTGATGTTCCATGGCGGAGTAGTCTTCCCGAGTGCACACTTTGTCTTTTCGAGGTAGCTTTGTTGTCAGTTTATTTTTCCAATGACAGAATACATGTCTTTAGTTCTGTGAAACTGTTCATATGCACGTGATGCCTTTGCAGGAACCTTATAGACAAAATAAAACCATGTTAAATCATACTTTGCCCTCTTGGATTCGATGAATGATAATGGAGATTGATTTTCCTGCTTTTTATCTTCCAGGTGATCACTTGAAGGTCTGTCCCCAGGGTTATACCTGCTGCTCTCAAGAGATGGAGGAGAAGTATAGCCTACAAAGTAAAGATGATTTCAAAAGTGTGGTCACCGAGCAGTGCAATCATTTGCAAGCAGTCTTCGCCTCTCGTTACAAGAAGTTCGATGGTATGTAATGGTACTTTGGTCCAAGGAGCATAGATAATTGCTTTCTTGAATTTGCATTATCCCTCCTCCAGTCACACTAAAAGGCTGGCAGTGAAGTCTGGTTTTTCAGAGCGCCCCTGTTCTCTCTGTGTTCAAGTTTCCTCCCAAGATGATGTTCTTTTTGGAGCCCAGGGCCAAGTTAGGCCTACAGCTTTATTGCTAGAATCCTCCCGGATGCCCTAGAATCTGCATGGTAGGCATTATGGAAACATGGTCACAGGGAGCCAAAAAATAGATGAAAGTCTTTTAATTCAAATGGTTTCATATAATTTCTTGGGTGAACACAGACTAGTGTTGTTGACGCAAGTCACTTAAAAAAAAAAAATACTCCTGCTAATAAAAAACAGGCATCTGAGAACTGAGTCAAAATAACCATAGAGATTCTGCAGATGCTGGACTTCAAATTAAATTTCAAAATGGGTCCCCCCAAAGACAGCTAGAATTCCTAGAAGCTATGTATACCACAGACTGGATCAAAGCTCAGCTTTTGAGTTCACATGCAGCAGCAACCCAGAAGCAGCTACTAGACTGTCGACTTCAGTAAACTGGGTCCCATTCCTGGCTCCGCTTTTGCTAGGGCCCTGGCTTTGTCTGTGCAAAGCCACAACCAAACCCATTTCAATCTCCTGTGCCAAACAGGATTCTCACATGAGTACTTGCTTTAAATAGTGGAGAAATTGCCAGGATGAACCAAACAGGAGCTGCTTCCATCCTATCTGAAGCAATGACAGACTTTAACAAGTCGAGTATGGGGTCCAGAACACCTCAGGATTCTCTGGCACCATTCACTCAGTTTGAAGATTGTCATGAAGTAGATTTAATTTTAATAGGAATGATTTCCTTTGTGCCTGTTTTAAAGGCCATTCTAATTACATAGTACCTTTGATGCATGCTTTTCTTGACATTATGTGTGGTGAAGAAGTACAAGGCAAATTTTCAAGATGTGAAATGTCTTTGAGTATTTCTGCAAAGGGCTTGTTACCATGGTGAGAAGTTGAGCTAAATTAGATTTGATACAGCTGATAAGGCAGTCCCCAGCTGAAGAACAGGTTGTATTTCAAATGTTGGCTTTGAGATTCGTTATTTGAAACTTATAACTGATTTAATAAGTGTTAGTTAGGTTCCCAGGCTAGACCACAAAGCATATTTAATTTGTAATGTTGTTGAACAATTTTTTTTCTAGCTAGCGTATCAGTTATTCTACACGTTTCCCCCCAACACTGTGCAAAATTGTGTGTAGCCTGAATTTCATTTTCTTGGATGGATGAAATAGCTTCCATATATCTATCTATCCAGTTTATTTTCTCAAGCCCCCAACACATGTGCTGTAGCTGTGAAGAGTGGTTCCCCAACAGAGGAGGATGGGCATTACTGGCAAAACCCCCCACTAGACCACCTCTGCCTCTGGTGATCACTGAAGTTGTTATTCCTGTGATTAGTGAATAGAATGGTGTTTCTCATTCATGACAATAGCCCAGGCATGTGCTTTTATTTTGAAAAGACCTGGATAACCAGATAATCATCTTTGAAAACTCGAGGTACTGAATTTTCGAAATTAGCACTATGGGGGCCTAACACTGGGAATGAGAAGGAATAAATCCTGCTCTTGAGTAATGACCTTTCTGGTGGCAGTGTAGTGGTGTGGCCAATATCTCCAAGTTGCCCCATTTCTTGCAAGACACGCTTTTCCGGGGGTGGAGCCCACACACAGTGGCTCCTCTTCTTCCTGTGGGCCTGCTGGCTGAGCTATTCTTTCTCTCCATGGTTTCATAGCGCTGCTGCTATCATTCCAATGTGTAGTGTTTAAAAAGGCATACAGAGAAACTTTATCTCAGTAAGTGTTAACATATGTCTTTTACAAAAGGACAGAAAAACAAATGTTCTTGCCCTTCACTGTCCGGCTTCACATTGAATAAATATGTTAATGTTGTTTCTTTATCAGTTTCCAAAGTGGTCACAGAAAATGATTATAAATTCCAATTTGTTTCTTCAGACTTGGAATTAAAATATGGCATAGACAATAGTTGGTGAGAATTTTTTATTTTGAGGGAGTAGAAGCTGAAAATGTGTTTGATCTGAAGATCAGAACATAACTGGGCTATGTTGCATATTTTCTCCAAATTAGGTTTTCTGAGACCATTAGATCATTTTCTGTGGTAAAACCACAGTTGACTAGTATACAGCAAATGGTAATTCTCAAGTTGGTGCTAGATTTAGTGATTGAGTGATTGGTGTTTAGGACTTGCCAACGCTCCTCAAATGTTAAATGTTAAAGATGTTAAATCAAAGTGTATAGGAACTGCTGTAATTCCCAGAAATCCAAGTGTGTCTGGGGTGCTCAGGGCAAAGAATTGTCGGAGCAGTCATAAAAGCCAAATGGGAGAGTGGAAGGTGGACAGAGTAACAAGATGGTGGCCAGAGAACCCAGATGGGACAGTAAGGTGGCACAGTGGTGGTCAGGGACAAGCTCTGAGGAAATACCTAAAGGACACGACAAAACTAGTTTTTGGATCACACAGCTTCCAAGTAGAGCCATTTTTCCCCCTGGCTATCACCAAGCTCACTGTGTAAATTTGCAATGGTGACTCTGAGCCAGGCTACTTCCTCTCATGTTAGCTATCAGACACCACTTCCTTTGCGAGTATACCTTCCTGCCCCCAGCAAAAGTCAGGTTTCCTAGATTTGAAAACCTGTACTTTAGGGTTCAGGTATTCACCTCTTATTTTCCTGCACTGCGATCCTCTTTATCCACTCTTTAACTCTGGATGTTCAATATCAGATTTACCAATTTAGGCTTAAGGTATAGAGCTGGGAAGTGGTAGTGACAGAGCTAGCTGCTCCCCCTCTTGGCCAGTTACAGGAATTTTTAAAGTAGAATTGCTAATTAGCATAGCTGAATCACTTGTCTCATGAATATGCTAATAAGACAGTCAGTTCTGGGGACTCTGAAAGAATTGCTTGGCAAAGGGAATAGAAATAATGGAAGTGGGGCATAATCCGTGTTTTAGGACCACAACATAAAGACCCACCCAAAATGTCGCTTTTTGTGAAAGGCTAGCTGTTTTAAAAAGAAGCACAGTTAAATCACACAACCCAAATATATTAAGAAGATTAGAGCTGCCATGTTAAATATATTTCTGGATTACAGAGTGGCAATGAGATAGCAACCGGAAGATATAATGTTGCTAAACAACTCCCCGAATCACTTTTTTAAAAAATTTTTTAGCTAGGTATTTTGTATGTTAAAAGAAATCTTAAAGGAAATCAAGATGTGCGATGTTAGCCCATTGGGAAACCACTTTTACTTTGTCATTTTAAGAGCAAATTTAACAACTTTGGACGGGAGGCAGAGTGCGCTGAATTGGCAGCCTGCTTCTGCGTGAACCCACAGTGACCTGTGGCAATTAACTGAGTCTCAGTTTTCCCATCCATAAAATGAGGGGTTGAGCTAGATGCTCTCTAAAGAGCCTTTCAATTCTAAAAATTCTGCAAATCTTCTGAATATGTGACTAGACCAGCTGCTTTAGTGAAAGGTCTTACGAGATGTTAATTAGCCGTCTGTATGCTACGCCCTCTATTTTCCTCCTATCATTTCTTAACTCTCCGCTACTTTCACCAGGTCTTTGAAAACCCTCCCATGAGCCTGAAGCTTGTTAACTCGGATAATAGTAGACATTTTCTGAATTAGCTGAAAACGCACATAAAAGAAATAATTGTCCCATCTATCTTCATGGGCCAAGTGTAATCAGAGTGGCCACCCTTCCCTTGAGCCCTCAAGCCCACTTGTTTTCTATCATTTAACAGACGCAGGACATGAAGCAGCCTTCAGGTTTAGCCAAATCTGTGTTTTTAATCACAGGCTGAAATTTTTCCATAGTTTATACCGGCCATTACTTCATTAGGCCATTAGGAAAACCAGCATGGAGGCGGGGGTGGGGGGGTATTGCAGGCATTAGAATTCACAGGCCCATGAAAGTTGTGACCTCAGTGGGAGGGAGCAGGCCACTCACCTTAAAAAAGAGATTCATCCAACTAAGCTTCATGGCCATTAGCTAAACTGAAAATTCTGGAATTTTCCTGATCCCTGACCTTAGCTATTTTTCAGCAACACAGTCTTAGTATTGTCTTTTGCACAGCCAATATTGATACTAAAAACCTCCTGGGAGATTTTTACATTGGGAAAAAGGATCTCAGACCTTCTCAAAATAAATGTGTCAAAGAAATATAACATGATTGGTTTTTAATCCTCCCCTCAGATTTCATTCATTAAGACATTAAAAGAAAACAGTGTGTTGCTTTTCTCAGCCTCACCTAGTGTTCAGTGGCATCATGTCACAGGATGGGCAGTTTGACACAATGTGTGCTCACCGTCCTGCCCATGCAGTGTTCCTTCCAGACCAAGCGAATGGCTTTGAGTTTGTTGGAAGGCACTGCTACTCGTCCCTTTACACATATATTTTCTTCCTCCATGTAAAAAAGGTAAAATGGGGGATGTTTTTGACAATACTTTTATGATCTCAGTGAAACTTGATGACAGTAAGAAACTAGCAGCCTTCTGTAATCTAATCAAATCAAGATCCCAGACAAACAGCACCCACCTCTGTACTGACAAAGGTTTTCTGCCTTTAGAGTTGTTTTCTGAAGTGTGACCACATTGGTACTGCTTGAGCACTTGCAGTGGGGGTGGTAGCTATTAGCTTTGGCTTCTTAAGCAGATTTGGCTTCAGGGAGAGCAGCTGATATATTTGGGGGTCAAGAAAATAATTTGAAGAGCTTCAGCTCCGCTGCTTTTTTCAACTGTGTTGGTTCATTGCACTTTAAGCCTGATAGTTGCCGACCTTGTTCATCTCTGTCCACCCTCTCTTCCATGTGTCTTTCTGTCTGGGCAAAGAAAAGGGCTTACTTGATGTAGTGCTGCCTCTAACTTGACTAAGAGAATTCCCAGGCCAGTCAGGCCTTTC